AGTGCTAAGCAAACATAAGGCCTGCCAGGAGCCCTTATACTTTACTAAGTCCTGCTTCAACTTGTGGCCTTGTTGAAAAAAAATAGATTCTATTATACTTCAGTTAAGTCATTTATAACTCTTAGGTGCCACCCAGTAAGCTTTCTTCTAGATTTATAGGCACAGTTTAGTTCCCATTGATGAGGGATCCTGTGTTTCTGTGGGTCTTTTTTAACATAATCCTCTCCAAGTCTTTCTGTTTCCTCATGAATGTTTCAATACAACTACCTAAAGAAAATAAACATATATTAAAAAATCAGTATTCATAAACATATAGGAAGAGAAAGGCCCAAGGATGTAGCTCACTGGCAGGGTGCTTGCCTTGTGTGAAATGTTCTAGCTTTGCTATCTAGCCCACAGAAAAAAAAAAGGAAGTAGGACATGATTTATAGCCAAAGCACTCATCTAGACTCTGGAACCTGGCCAAGCACAGCATGTACTTCTACTGGTCTTTGAGTTACGTGATAAATTACATGTGTTCAGCAGATATGGGGAGGGTGTGGAGTGCCACACATAGAACAAAACAGGGCCAATGCCTAAACTAAACTGATTTGGGTGCTAAAGACAAAAGGAGGCACTATTATGTTTCCCCAGTTTTGACTTAGATAGACTGACGTGGCATTCACCAAGGGTCCCAGTTTCCTGTCATTGTCAGAAAGGACCAAACACACATGAATGCAAGTTGTAGAGCATCCTGTTCAGAGGAGCCAATGGGCAAGTATAACTGAGAGGTCTTGGATTTATCCGTGTGAGGACCCAAAGTACTTTTGAAAACTGACAGGTCTTCCTGCCTTCTCATCTCTGAAACTGCTTTATAAAGTCTTGTGACTAGTGTTCTCCTAACCAAACCTCTATATTTTTCCCTATTGATCAAGCCTTACATAATCAAGTAAGACTCCTTTGGTCCATCCATTTAGGGTTTTAGGCCCACATTTGTCCATCTGCTTGTTTGATTGTAACCTAAACAGGTGCTTGGTTTGTGTCCTGGGCACACACTGTGATTAAGCAGGGCTAGGCATGGAAAGATGAGAGCACTTGCCTACAGTTTTCCTTTCAGTTCACTGTTTGTTTTCAGAAATAAGCCGTGGTAAATTGTAAGTTTCTATGATCTCTCTCTTCCTATCTAAACTTTTACATTGAAGGGCCACTTGAATTCATGAGGTTTTCAATGAAAAGAACCCAGCTAGCAATGGCAGACTATACTTCATTTCACAGCTTCCTAAATTTTGCCTTGAGAATGTTTTGATGTACCTGTCATTTTCTATGCATCCTCATTTCACTTCATTTGATTTCTTTGCAGTACCTAGGAAGTGATAAAAGTTAGCCAAGAGTGACATGATACTGATTTTCACTAACTGGAATTTAATCAATAGGAAGAGCATCTCAAAACAGATTGCATTGTTTGTCTCAAGGCTTTATGAGATAAATTCAAGAAGCCATAATAATTATGTATATTTACTTATTTATTTCGAAAGCACTGGGGTTTGAATGCAAGATCCCGTGTTTGTTAGACTGATGCTCTAGCACTTGAGTCATATCCGAAGTTATTTTTATTTTAGTTTAGTTTATCTGTGCAGATGCTGGGGTCTGCCTGGGCACTGTCCCTGAGCTTTTGTGCTCAGGGCTAGTACTTTACCACTTGGATTCACCATGCCAGCTTTTTTTTTTTTTTGCTTTTTTTTTCTTTTTGCTTATGTGGTGCTGAGGAATCGAACCCAGGGCCTCTGGCATGCAAGGCAAGCACTTTACCACTGAGCCACCTTCCCAGCCCTACCATGCCAGCTTTTTAGTAGTTAATTGGAGATAAGTCCCAAAGAATTTCATCCCTGGCCTGGCTTTAAACCAAGATCTTCAGATCTCAGCCTCCTGAGTAGCTAGGATTAGAGGTGTGAGCCACTGATGCCTGGCTCCAGTTTTTTTTTTATAGGATCTCACATTTTTTTTACCCAGGACTGGCTTTGAACTCGCCTATGGCCACCTAATTAGCCGAGAGGATTGGCATACACTATGTTGCTCATCTTATTTGTTGATATGGAAGGAGGGATTCTTGATAATTTTTGCCATGTTTGTCTCCAACTGCAATTCTCCTAATTTCCACTGTGGTTACCAATGTGAGTTCCTTCTCCTAGTCGAGCTGTGGATTTTGATTGAATTTTATACATATGTGTTTCTAGCAGCAAATAGAAGGGAAATAGTGGCCCACACTCCTTCCATACTTTAATGTGACTTCCTGAAGAAAGAAGAAAGGTGTCAGGTGAGCAATCCCACCAATTCCTTTGCGTTTCCTGTCCAATGTCTTCCTATCTATATTTAATTATCTTTATTTTTTGAATATTTTTGTAATCTTTAAGTAGTTGTACAAAGGAGCTGGCATTCACCAAAGCACTTTGTGAATATAGCGCATCTGATAAATATGCTTTTCCTCACAGAAAAATCAGTGGCATGATATCCCGCTTCTAATAGCTTTTCTTACTATAATTGAAATGAGGCAACAGGCAGGCACATTTCTGTTACTGATGAATTCCCAGAATCTACCATAGATCAAGACGTAACAAATACACTTGGTAGATGCTTGTTGAATGTCTAATTGAATTTCCACTCTGATTACAAATTCAGTCTTCACAAAAATTACATTTGAAATGTGCATCCAAATTAGATTTCAAACATTGACATTAATTTCCTTTTAGCTTTATTTCTCTTCAGTGAATTAATATACTTAACAAATGCTTACAGGAAATGCATCTTAGTTAAATATTCAATCAAGTACAATCAAATAACGAGAAAGGTCTCATATATAGCTGGAATATTATTTTTATCTGTGTGGCTGTGACAATTAACTCAATACTTTCAGCTAAGATATCTCATTTATAAAATTAGATGAAGGCAATATAGATAGAAGTTCCAGGAGACACAATCTCCAAAATAACCAGTAAAAAAAACAGGGCTAGGGGCATGGCACAAATGGTAAAGCACCAATGAATCTAGCAAGCTGAGTGAGTACAAGGCCCTGAGTTCAAACCTGGAACCACACACACAATCACAAAAGGCATGAGATCTCAGATGTTTGTGAGAATGAGATAATCATATATGGGACCAAGAATATAAAACTGAGAAACATTTCCTAACAATGCAATCAACTCTCTCAGCCTACGTTAGCATCCAAGCATAGCTGCACAGCCCCACTCAAGAGATTTACAAATCATTCCTTGCAGAGAAAAGTTTGATAGAAGAAAATGCTACACCTCAACAACTGCCCGCTCCCTCCTGCCAAAGTTGTAAAGTTCATTTTCAACATAGGAGGTGGGAGGGCAGGGATGATAGGGGAAAAACAAAGGAGGAGGCAACAATGCTCGATAGGAAATGTACTCATTACCTTGCTCATGTAACTGTAACCCCTCTGTACAGTTATTTTTACAATAAAAACATACAAAAATACTACAAAGAAAGGTCTATGTAGGGTGTGTTTATGAAACTTGTGTGACTGTATGGGACTAGACTACTACAAAGTTTTCAAAATTTATATCTTGGATGGCTCAATTGTTTGTGAAGATAGTTTTGCAACAAAGTTCTTATCACTGTCTATACTATAGACCTTTCTTTTTTAGGTCTGAGACCAGGATGTAAAGTCAGTACCTGATTCTTTCATCTTTTGTCTGGTACTCTACCAACTGAGCCATGTGTCCAACACTCTATTTTACTTCTCATATCCATGATTTATGTATGTATATATGTATGTATGTATGTATGTATTTAGTCTGTTGTGGGGTTTGAACTCAGGGCCCAGGCACTGTTCCTGAGCATTTTGGGGGGGGGATCCAGTCATGGGGCCTGAACTCTGGGCCTAGGCACTGTCCCTCAGCTCATCAGCTCAAGGCTAGCGCTCTACCACTTGAGCCACAGCACCACTTCTGGCTTTTTCTTTCTTGCTTATGTGGTGCTGAGGAATCGAACCCAGGGCCTTATGCATGCAAGGCAAGTGCTCTACCACTGAGCCACCTTCCCAGCCCTCCCTGAGCATTTTTGCTCAAGGCTAGTGCTCTACCACTTTGAGACTCAGTACCACCTCCAGTTTTCTGGTGATTATTTGGAGATAAGAGTCTTACGGACTTTCCTGCCTGGGCTGGCTTTGAACCACAGTCCTCAGATCTCAGCCTCCTGAGTAACTAGGATGACAGGCATGAGCCCCTGACACGTGGCCTTATGTCCCTATCTTAGATGACATGGATTTCAAATGCCAATCCAAGATCATATACAGAGTAAAACTTGAATCTTAGGGTTTTCAAAAGACATTGTAATGTTCTGGAGGGAAGCACAACAAAGACATACTTCACATTTCCCTAGATAACCAGAGGACAATGGGAAAGACAGCAGATCTGGTGACAGAATAAAGATGTGAGTATGGTGAGCAGAATCCCCAAAGAACGCCCCCTGAACCTCTGTAAAGCTGTAAAGTTAACTCTGTGGAAGGACTGGGGTGTCCTTACAATTCCCTGGAGAAGCTCACCAGGGAATATAATTATCCAAATTTTAAATGAATAGATAAAATAAAGGAAAGCAATGAAGCTTGAGAAAAACAGACCTTTCAATCCAAACAGAAATCCTCCGGGGTTCTTCCAGGGAAGGATCCTTAGGAATTTCTACCTTCCTTCATCATTTCCTTGTGAGACATTGCAAAAGAGTTACTCAAGAATACTTGTACTTAGGGCTTTGTTTCTCGTGGGAAGATGAGGGAAAATAGAAAACCCTCTCCTATGTTTGGTGAGGAAACATGACCTTTAGGCTCTCTGGTGAGTTGACTCTGGAAGGAGTGAATGAGTTCAGTTTCACAGTGTGTGTATAAATATGTGTGAGAACATAGACAATTGTCACATACTTTGTATGGCCATCAAAATCCCTGGCTTGGTGGATCCACAGCTTTCTGGTTGAACTTAATCTCAAGGAAAGCCTTGCAGATCTCTGCCATGAAGTTGCTAGCTGTCTTCTTATTAGTGACCCTCAGCATTTGTAGTTACTCGAGTAAGTGTTCTGGAATGTATGATATTGCTGTAGTTTTTGGTTACCAGCTGGTAAAAACGTGGTTCACTGGCAAGCAAAATATGCTAGAAGCCATTTTAGAACCACAGAAAATGGTAATGTGGAAAGATTATCACAGAGCTTTAATCGTCTGCTCTCCAAGCTAATGTTAGAACGATCCCCGATGAATGCTACAGAGAAAGTTTGTCAGTGCTGAAGGGATTGAAGCATACTTCATTGCTGGACTTTTGTTGTCTTTTCTCCCCCTTGTCTTGAGTCAGAATCTGACCATCTTCTTCTTCAATGCTTTTGAAGGTACAGGGGGTCATTGTTGCTGTCACCTACAATTAGCCAAGACAGCCATGTTGGGTCTCCTGAAGCAGCTGCACTTACAGCTCATATAATCAGCAGCTATTATTTGCTCTGGGGCTACGTATAGATTCTGGAAGGAGTCAAACCTCCTGACCATTGTCTTGTTTTATGTGGTGATCTATATCACTGGCTTGTTAGATTATTCTCATGAAACTTAATTCTTAGGAAAGTCTTACAGAAGTCTGCCAGGAAGCTGGTAACTGTTTTACAGGTAAGGGAGATATGACTACTTAAGAAGTTACTACAATACCATTGTAATATTATTTTAATACTATTTACTGTTGTAAATGTGTGATGAGATATATAGATAGAGTCTTAGGGGTATGCTTAGTGATAAAGAGTTTTTTTAATTTAAGTTTTTTATTGTTATTAAAAAGGTGATGTACAGAGGGGTTACAGTTACATAAGTCAGGTGATGAGTACATTTCTTTTTGGACAATGTTACCCTCCCCTGCTCTCTCCCAGTGTTTCCCTCCCCTCCCCACCTACAAGTTGAATAGTTCATTTTCAACATAGTGTCTAGTGAGTGCCACTGCTGCATTTGTTCACCCTTTGTCTCTCCATTTCTGTGGAAGAGTTTAATTTCAAAATTAAGACACAGACACTGGCAGCTCGGAGAGAATCAGAATTGACCTACTTTGTTTTAGACGAAATCATTTCTGGCTATTGAGAAGATAAACGTTTGTTCTTCAGGAAAATGCACTGTGGTAGCCACTGCTCCCTGAGAGGACAGGAAGCTTTGACAACCTTCCCTCCAGAAAGACATGAACACAGACACAGAAGACATTCACAACTTGTAGTGGGTGCTGCATGAGGATTAATCATGACATCAAGTGCTGCCTACATATACTTATACTGGCAATGTTTGGAGGAACATTGGAATGTGTGGAGGAATTTGTAACTTTGGCTGGTTTTGAGTGTTTGGCTGCTCTGTGGCCTGCATACATCTTGAAGTACCCTAGGCTGTATTGGATTTCTGGATGCAGCATACTTGTCCTTTTATTTCTCTAATGGCCAAGACAAAAACTTAGGGATAAAGATGCCAGTAGAAATAGGGAGAGATTTCAAGGGAAGACAGGTGATAGAAGATGAAATGAAGCACAGGCTTCATTTATATCTGTTTTCTGGTGGTCCTCTGGTTTGAACTCAGGTCCCTGTGCTGGCCATGCAAGTGCTATACCACTTGAGCCATGCCCCAAGAATTTTTAATGTCATAATTTTTTATGAATGATGAAGTTTTGCATTTATGGCTGGGGCAACCAGGACTGTGATTCTCCTGTTTACATTTTCTGTGTAGCGGAAGTGATCAGTTCACAGTGCCATGCCCAGCATTGTACTGATTGAGATAGATCTTATTAACCTTTTCCCCAAACTGACCACCAGCCATAATCCTCCTGATCACTGCCTTCTGAGTAGCTTGAGAATGAAGGAAAATTATAAAAACTCATTTTGTAAATTGGAAGAAGAGCTAAAAATATTTCTAAGAAAACAAATTGACTATGACCGTGATCATTAGATCTCAGCCTCTTTAGTAGCTAGGATTACAGGTGTGAGCCATCAACATCCAGCCAAAACCTAAGTTCTTCTTGGAACCTACACTAATGACAGGATCACACCTGTAATACTAGATACTCAGGGGGCTAAGATGTGAAGATCACAGGCCAAAGCCAGCCCAGACAAGAATGTCCATGAAACTGTGATCTACAATTAACCACCAGAGAACCGGAAGTGGCATTGTGACTCCCAGTCATACAGTGCTAGCCTTGAGTAAACAAAGCTCAAAAATAGCACCTGTGTTCAATCCCTGTGACAATAATAATAATTTAAATAACAATAGAAATGAAGACATGAAAGATAGCAGCAATATTTTAGATAGAGCAGACACTGTAGGCTTTGATACAATGGTCACAAATGATGAGAGCCCAGATAATGTGAGGAAGACTTGTAGCTATCTGGTGGAAAGAGTCCTGGGGAGAAGGCGCAACAAGTACAGAGGCCTGGAGGCAGAAGCTTCATGGGACATGCAGATATGTGGGTCTGGCATGGTGCTGTTATGGGAAGCTGGAGTTACAGACTGGCAGGATGAGCTTGTTGTATTTATTTCTCTTTTCCTTTTCAGCTACTGCCTTCTTCCTCAATAGTGTATCCCAGACTGTGGACAAAGTGTTACCTTTACCTCTGGAAAGCATTCTTCCCTTCCAGGATCCATTAAAGCTTCTTCTGAAGACCTTGGGCATCTCGGTAGAGCACCTTGTGAGCGGACTAAAGAAGTGTGTAGATGAGCTGGGCCCAGAGGCTTCAGAAGCTGTGAAGAAACTACTGGTAATTACACTCTGCAGGGCTGATTGCCAAGGGGGAGGGACTGGTCATTGAAGGTCCAGCCCCACTCCATCCTGTTTGCACCTGGTGAATGGTGTTTTTCTTTTACTGACTGTAGTCACCAAGTCTGCACGTCCCATGGAAAGTGCAGTTTCTACATTTCAGCTGGAAACAATTCCAGCTGTGCCAGGTTATGTGATTTCTGGGTGGGCCTCAACCATTCCAAATCTTTGTTTCCACATCAGCAAAATCCTGGCCAAATGGGATCATGAGAGTGACTTATTTTTGACACATATAAATTATGTGTGTACCACTCCTATGTGTATGACTATTCTTCTGACTTTCAGGAGGCCCTGTCACACCTCGTGTGACCTTGGGGGAAGAGAGAAGGCGGCAATGGGGACAGATGACCACCCGCTTCCCAGTCACAGATGGCATGCCCTAAAACACAGTAACTCCTGGAAAGAATGAATAAAGCAATGACCAAAGTTTCATTTTGTACAATTTTCATTTCTAGAGACTCCTTCCTTTGGAGTATATAGTCTGGAGAGCCTATTTTTGTTTTCTGGATTTTTGTTCTATTTTATGCTGCTATTCAGGGCCTGAGTATTTCCTCATAGCTTTTGCACTTGAGGCTGGTGCTCTGACACTTGAGCCATACTTTGAATTATGTGCTGTTGTTGTTTTGTTTGTTTTTTGCTGGTGAACTGGAGATAAGTGTTTCTTTTGTCTGCCTGGGCCAGCTGAAACCAGGATGCTCAGATCTCAGCCATCTGAGGAGCTAGTTTTACAGGCATGAGCCACCAGCACCCAAGCTGTTACAAAGACAGCCCCAATTTTTAAGTAAGACATACTCATTCCTTCTCTGTCAGTTAAACATCTGCATTTCAATGCTTGCTTATGTGACAGCTTCCAGACCCGCTCATCCTCCCAACACTAAAGAAATTATTAAATTTTAAAAAAATGGAGCATTGCTTAACAAGACTTAAACATTCCTAACTTTGTCAGTTTGGCATCTGCAGCACCAGATTCTGGTTTCTATGTTTGTAGTTATAAAGGGTCACTGGGTAGCTTTTCCAGGCACTTCTACCAAGTCAAGCCTCTATTATATAATCCGTCGGGAAAGGATTATAACCTGCCTTTTCCCTCACATTTTATCATTGCCAATACATCATTATAGACAATAGGCTGCAGAGATGTAGTAATAAATAATCTCAAATCTCAGTTGCTTGCATCAACAATGTTTGACATTTTTGTATACTATACACACATCTTTGAATGGCTTTAGCCTTGTCCCCTGTTGCCTGAGTTTCATAACCAGAGCTGATGAAATAACCTCTGTCTCCAGCATTTCCAATTATCATAGTCCCTGAGAAAGGGAGCGTAGAAAATCATAGGCTAAGTCTTAAAGCTTCATCTTGGTGGTAATTGATATTTATCACTTCTCATCACAATTTATTATTATACAACTGACCACATAATTATTATACAATTGACCACACCTGGCTCATTTAGGAACATCTGTATAACTCTTTGACAGGGAATAAAGATGATGCTCTCTCTAGGCTTACATAATGTATGTTACTATATTACTTGAACCTTTCAAAATAATTGTCATCTGAGATGTCACTACTCTACTTGTAGATTCCTTCTTTTAAGGAACGATGGGTAGCATTGTAGTATAGTTACTATAAACATCTCTTTTCTCTGTTACCAGAGCATCTAAGCTGGATTTCTGCTTGGTTCTACAGAGCAACCAAGTTATCTTTGCAAAAATGCCACACTGGTCCTATCTACTCAAGTGTTTTAGCAACCTTTGGTGGTTTTTCGCTGTTCTCAGACTTAAGGGAAATCCCATCCTTTCTGAGGTTCTGTTTCTTTCCTCTTTAATGTTTTCTTCTTATTTCTCAGCTACTTTGGCCTCCTCTCCTTGCAAGAGCAAGGGGGCTTTTGTGAATGCAGCACACTCAAATATACATGCTTCTTCTTTTTCCTCTCCAGAATTTCTCCCAGCTTAAGTATCACTTTAAAAAAATTCTCTTTGATCCCTATACAGGAGAAAACTAAGAGAACCACCATTTTCCTTGCTGAAAGCATCACACAAAGCTTAATCATGTGTTTGTGCACCCTTATTTGATTATTATTTGCCTCTCCCATTTGTTTGTGAGCTCTCGGGAAACAGCCCAGTATCTAGCATAATGTATGGAACATAATAATTTTAATATTTAGTAATGTTTGTAGAAATGAAATATTTAAACATATACTAATAGAGTGAATCATCATCTAACTATGCTAGTAGACTCTTGACTTGAAAAAGGGTTAGGGACTGAATTATCCTCAATTAGTATTGGTAATAGCTTAAAGTAAGTTATTGCAGTCCAGTCTTTACTCATACAGTTTAGTGGATTGCAACGATGTTATACAAGGTCAAGTATATTCTTTTCAGTATACCTGGGAAGTGGAGGTAGATCTACAGTGGTTACAAGATAGTTTGTGACCCACCAAATTCAACAAAGCACAAGGCTTTGTCAAGTGTTTCAGTTCTAGAGATGGAAGTCAATGTATTGTGAAGGACAAATGAGTACTGTGGAATCAGTCCAGCAGTTCTAGAAAATACAAGCTAATCTAGTGTTTCAAAAAGCAAATCATGTTTTGGCAAATCTGAAAGCAAATCAGCAAATTGGAAAGAGGGAGAGATGGATTACAACTAACAAGAAAAAACTTTTGGGAGTAATTATGTTCATTTTCTTGATTGTGATGGTTTAATGGATATTTATAAGTGTCAGGATTTTTCAAATATATATTTTAAGTGTGTTTTTTCTTACATGTCAACTGTGTTTTAATAAAGTTACAAAACTACTCATATGCTACAAGACAAATACAATGTAATTTTTACAAATGGACCATCAGCTGGGATTTATAGAGGAATTGGCATATTTCCAAGACACTCTGATGTTGCAATTCCAGTTTTGAAAATCTCTCAAAAAGGAACAAAAGCATCAAACATGGATGTATGCAAACAAGGATGTTTATTGTGGCATTTTTTGAAGAGCTGAGAATATAAATTATTTTGAATGACTATTAATAGAGAATACACTCTTAGGTTATAAGGTATTGGGCAACTTTTCAAAGATTTCTGTTTACTTAAATATTATAACCCATTATTAAATAAGAAAAAAACATGCTGCAGATGAAGTGCATACTCAAGTCCCTTTCCACATGAATATATATTTTAATATATTTGGAAAAAAGGGGAGAATACTGTCTTAGTGGTTGGCAGGACTGTTTTAGAGACAGTTATGTTAGGCCAAAAGACTGTTTTGTCAGTCAAATTTCCTTTTTTTCATCATGAAAAATACCTGCAGAAGCAGCTTATAGGAAAGATTTAAAAAAAATTTTTGGGTCATGTTTTCTTGGTTCCATCACTGTAAGCCCGTCACACATGGTCGCAGACAAGTCTCAGAGATTGCTGCTCACATCATGGCCACCAGAAAACAGAGCAAAAATGACAGAGGAGGGCAAGGGACAAATATAACTTTCCATGGTACACCTTTAATTAACTTCTTCCAACACACATGCATGCATGTGTTTGTGAATGTGTGTCTGTGTGTGTGTGAGAGAGAATATGTGTGTGTTTAAATATTCTCTTCATCTCATGGAAACAACAAAAGGAAATCCTACCTCAGGGGTTTTAGGGACACACAGATGCGGACTCTGAAATTCTATTCTGGGCGAACCTAGGAGAGTTCCTTAAATTTACAGGGTCACAAGTAGACTCATTTAAAATGGAAACAAGACTGTGTACTTGGAGTCCTTGGTGTGAGGGCGGAATGAGGTAACGTTGGTGAAGGTCCAGCCTAGGAACAGCTCAACGACAATGATTTCTCACTGGAAGGTAAGCCACGGATGCCAGATATTGACAGTCGGAGCTTTGGTTTAAGTTTTATACCATGATAGAAATTTCCTTCCTCCTCTCTTTTGCCACATGCCTAAATCCTTCACTATCTATCAAGATATGGCACTAACAGAATTGGCTCGAGCAAGTATTTCCAGATCTCTCAGCGGGCACACATGTCCCTTCATCCTCGCCTATACTTTCACCAAGGTGCATGTTGACTATGCCCAGCTGATTAGATGCTAATGAAGACACTGAGCTAAGAAGAACTGGGTGCTGTTCAAACTTTCACCTTCACTCTCTTGCCTTTTAGTAGCTCTATGATTTCTATTCCTTTACTTAATGCAGAATATGACAGGTAGGTACCCAACAGCTACTCTCTGAGAGACCCTGTTTATTTTGCTCATAATCCAGAAACATTGAATAAAAGAGCTATTTTTCTTTGTGTACCAGTACTGGGACTTGAACACAGGGCCTGAGCATGGTTCTTTAGCTTTTTCACTCAAGGCTGACACATTTGAGCCATAGCTCTACTTCTATTTTTTGTGTGGTTAATTGGCGATCAAAGTCAAATCACCTTTCTTGCCCAGACTAGCTTCAGGATCCTCAGATATCAGCCTCCTGCATAGCTAGGATCATAGCCATGAGCCACTGATGCCCAACTAAGAGTTAAATTATTAACCATGAATCTCACATTCTGATAAGTGGCAAAAGAAAAGGAACAAAGTAATTCAAATTTAAACCCTGTCTGAAAAGATGAATGCTATGAGGAACCTTGCAGCAGGCCAAAGGAATAGGAAACTTTGGACAGAAGCTGCAACTTTCAAAAGAACAATCAAGAAAGTCATCACTGATGTGGGAATATTGAAGTTTTAAAGAAACAAAAGGCACATCATTTGGCTATCTTGTAGAAGAATGTTTGAGCAAATTCAAAATGCTGGGGAAAGAACATGTTTGGAGCATTTAAAGGTAACACAGTCTTAATGTGGCTGGAGTGGAGGAAGCAAAGAGATGTAGAGGGTGGAAGGGACAATATCAAGAAGGATCTTTACTGTCATTTGAAGGTTTATAAAACAGAACTTTTGCTAAGTATGAGCTTCGAAATGGCAGAAGGATCTGACACAATTTGAATTTCATTTAAATAGAAGTTCTCATCCTGCTCAGCATTTCCATAAAGAGCAAGCTGTAAATTCCCTCCAGTGGTGTGGTGGAGTTTCTGGTAGGATCTCTAGTTGTGAGGGCACACTAGTAATGATGTGAACAGTCCTTGGGCTATTGCAGAGGGGTGCTGTGCTGGGGGTAAGACAATCATGTCTGGACTTCATGCTCTATCTTCACTAGCTTCAGTATCCTGGGCATGATACTTAGTGGCCTCCTGCATCTCTATTTCTGCTTCTATAACAGGAAGAAAATAAAGCCTTACTAGCTCACTTCAATCCCATTGGGATTATAAAAGAAGCAGTGCATGTGTATTAT